AAGAGGGCATGCTCGTCCAGAGGAAAAGTGTAGTTAAGAAGAGTACCAGCAGTCATACGAATCAGCCCTCCTCCGAAACCGCAACGGCACACTCATATTCTATGCACGAAGCAAAGGCAAGTTTCAATGAATATCCTGAAGCACTATTGTTGTACAAACTTTTACTATGTATGAAAGTATTTACATGATATATATATATATGTATATACTGATAACGCAAAAAATATTTAGATATTGAGTCGTTAGGTTAAATCTCGTCTACTCGAGTATGGCTGTCGATTTGTGCGTGTGGTAACTAAAGTTTGTAGGCAATACTGACCACAAATCAGATAAATTATTAGGGGGACTCTAATTTGGTATGAAAGTGAATGAAGAAGAGATTCGTTAGTCGATCTCACCAGATGAAGACGGATACATCTCGTTATAACGCAGCCTTAGGCTAGTTCAGGTTCGTCAGGGCTTACTGTTACAAGGAAAAAGAATGCACGAGATTGCGTGCGTGCCTAAAAAACCCTAGGTCAATTGATGAGATGTAAGCCTGTAGGCGAGAAAGGTTTTAAGAGGCTATCTATCCTTCGTCTTCTTTAAAGGAGAAAGTATGGAGATAAAGTCGTTAGGTTTCAAGGCTCTCAGTTAGTTAGTTGCAATGGCTGAAAGAGGTCAGGTAAAACGGAACTCTGAGGGAAACGCCAATTGGGATGGAAATAATTCAGCTAAGGTATGCAAAATTGGTGGTGTGGATAGAGAGCGGTGTGGAGAGGCGAGGTGGGAGGGAGGCAGTGTGACTGCGAGAACGACAGTGGCGGGGAAGACGTCGCAATAGTAGAACACAAGTGGGGTCACTTGATGCATTGTGGCTCGGCGTCGAAGATGGCATTGTCCACTTGCGAGACAACAACAAAGTCTGTATGGCGAAAGCTAAAACAGGCTGTTGCCACACGTCAGTCACATAATCTGCCCTCTCAACAACTCACCACAAGAAGTCTCGCAAACTGGCTTGAGGCTGACTCCGGTCAAGTT